ATTATATCTAAAAAATTATATCTAAAAATGTATCATAAATGTATCATAGTTACATATTACAAGTGAGAGTTTATTTATACAAGTTTTTTAAAATGACATAATTATCACATATAAATAATATCACGGTAAGTGTACAGATAAATATCCTTTTAATTCATATGAATTGTAGTTTAGAGTTTTTTTTTCTCTTGTATGTTAACTCTTAATAAAGTAATATTTCCATTATGAATAAATACAACACTACATATCTTACATATATTATTTCTTAAGTTATATTGATGCATAATCAAGTATCAGTCATGTGTAATATGCACAACATACAAATGTGACTTTTTTCATTAATATAAATAAAAATACCATGTTCTAACATATAAATATATGAATAAAATATATTAATGTGACATATTTAACGAAACATTTTATTACCCATAATTTTCACTATTTTTCTTTGTTCTCTTTGTTTTTATAATTTTCAGCTATTTCTTATAATAATCAATTGTCCTTCCTTAAATTTACAATCAGAGGACGAATAAATAAATAATTAAATGGAATGGTGCATATGACTCCAATTATCTAGAATTTTTGTTATCTAAAAATTCTTCATTTTCGTTCATTTCTTTAGATTCTGATTTTTTTAAATCTATATCTGGATATCCATCCTCGATATATCTAATGGAATCATGATCCATGTTATTGTCATTTTTATTTTCACTTGTATCTATCAACCATCCTTGATTGCTGTCGATTTCTCTAGAAACAACAAGGAATAATTCCTTTTCCTTACTATCTATCTGATCCTTTAGATATATGAGTAAATCGCTGTCCTGATGCAAAAGAAAATATAGTTTAATATCATATAAAACTAACATATGAAAATACTTCTATATTTTTTAACAAATTATATATATTATAACTAACCTTTCCTATCAATTGTGGTGAATCCAGTTTTGAATCAAGATTATAAAAGGCACCATGTATCTTTTTCAGAGCAATCCAATGGCGTCGCTTTAAAGGAAGTAATACAAAACCCAATTTGTATTCAGTTGGAACATTAAGTATAAAACCCTCGATGTTATCTAAGCGAAGACACTTGGGATCCCTAAAATAAAAAGAACAAAGAAATAAAAAAAGTTCATGATCTGTCATTTCTTATTCAATTATATTCTTAATAATACATGATATAAATATACAGACCTACGTTTATCAAACCAGACAGCTTCATGTCCTCTTCTTTGAAGAGCAGCCATAATAACATTAATGTCATAATTGCCAAGTCCTAGTAATGATTTATGTGGATTGATCCATACATCAGGACTTAAGCTATAACAAATTTGATCTAATTCTTGCTTGCTAAATCCACGTTCTTGAAACAGATTATTTAGAGCATGTAATGCACATAGCTCCTTCACCTATAATTCAATACTAATTAAACTAAATATAAATATATATCAAATTAATTAAAACAAAGCAGTCTTTTTACAATAATATAAATATTTTAAATCTTTGTTCTATTAATTTCATTTTATACTCAAATTTTATAGAGATTATAAATAAGTACATAATGAAAAAAATATATAAAAATAATAATACAGAAAAAATATAACATCACAATAAATTACTTGTCGTTCATGATATATGGACCCAGTCATATCAACCCAGTCTCTCGTGTTTGCAACCATTGCAACTACATAGTTTCTTCCGTTGTCAGCATAAAAGGGAGATTAAGTTATTAGTAGAACTCTTTGTTGAAGGAATTCTTAAAACAATGTATTTGATAGCAAATGATCATCAACCAGCCGGTTAGATTTCAATAATCAACAGCACTTCAACTCGCTGCCATCCAGGCATGATCAGTATTTGCTAGATATATACAATATCATGTAGATTTAAAAAAAATGTATACAAGAAATGTAAAGAATTAGTGGTCACAAATTCTGTATTAAAATGCTTGATTAACACATTTCATCAATGAAAACTTATAAACAGTACGCGAAAATGTGACGGATTAATTACAAATAAAATTCATCAAAAAATTCATCCCGGGTATCTTTAATTTTTTTATCGATCAGTCTATATCTCGCGCTAGACTAAATATGGTGGAACTAACTACCATATTCAAAAATAAAAGATTTATTTGCGAATAAATTCGGTTAAAGAATTTTTTAATATTAGAAATTTGGCATATTTAATTGTATACAAGTACGGTACCGTTGAAACATTCGATCACATTTGACATATAAAATCAAGCCATGGACATAAGAAAACTTGGAGAACCTAAGGCCGAGTCTACATTAATCGTAAATTGAAAGATCGCAAGAAATTGACCAATCACAGTTAGTTATTTTCCTTGCGATCAAAAATAATAATGAAAATTGTGATTGGTCAATTTCTTGTGATCCTTGTTGTTTCGCGATTAGTCCCGGCCTACAATAGGTGATTTAAGCCATAAGAAATGGACAAATCATAGTCAAAGAATAGGAGACTAATCGACTATGATTGGTCAATTTCTTATGGCTTAAGACTTAAATCACCTATTGTAAACCGGAACTGAAGGTCATTTTTTATTATCTTCGATTACTCAATCAATCGATTATTATATTGGAATTGACCAATCGCATTTGTCCATAAATTTAATAAAAAATACAATTGTTCAATTCGAATGGAATAATCGACTGGATGAGGATCACTTTCATTGTATTTGTTGTTAGATTTGTAAACAAATTACGATAGGATTTTCTAATAAATAACCCAAATTGGTGGAAGAAATCTTTTTTTTTTAGAGAAGAGGAATCTTCAAAAAATCTCCGGACGACAACCGGGGAATGTAGGATTTAAATAGGTGTCATGTCGAACGAAAAGCCATCCAGTCTCACCTACTCACTAAATCTCCTCTATATTCATTTATATCATATTGGGGGAAGTCGTGGGGCCCTATTCTTGAAACATATCGCATACAAAATCCTATAATATATGTCATATAAACTAGGATTTTTGTATAAATATGTTTCAAGAATAGGACCCCTGGAACTTTGACAAGATAATGCATCACGAGCGTCTGCTGGTATTAGTGCAATTGTGCATACGACACGAAAGCTGCTTTTTCATGCAGCGAAGAAAAGCTAGCGTTTACCCCTTCTCTATCGATTTTCAATGAATACAGTGAACTAGCGAAGACACTCTGAAAAGTTCGGAAGCGTTTGACCACATTGCAGTTGGACACAGCCACTTACAGCGACCGATGCCTGGAGATTTTCTACTGAATCAATCAATCAAATAATTTTATTTTAAATTGGCTAATCGGCAACGTGGGCAATCAGGCGCTATTCAAAAGTTCAACATTGTCCAATTAATAGCGAAGTAACACTAGAAAAATGTTGCCGATGAAATGAAAGAGAAATTATAAAAAATATACAGATATTTATTATAGAATTTTAAAATTATGGAAGAGACATCTTTGGCAGTGCAAGAAATATATATAAAATATATATAAAATATATATAAAATAAATAAAGAAATAATAAATAAATGTATAAATAAAAATTCCACATAAAGTGAGTTTCCACAAGGATTTTGTAAAATCCTCTTTATCGTAAAACCTTTGTAAAAATTCATTTTATATGGAAAGTTGTAAACCCATGTCGAACAATTATAGTTCTCGTTTTGCCTCTTAGCACGGGGGAGAAGAGTAGATTTCGCAAAACCTTTCTGGAAATTCGTTTTATGTGGAAAGTCGTAAGCCCATGTAGAATCGAATTATAGATCACAATTATAGATCTTGTTTTAAAACAAAATTTATAATTATGCAATTTTACAAATTTAAAAAATCACTCTAATATTGCGCAGAGCGACTGAAACGCATGCGCATGTGGTCACAGCGCATGCCCATGTCGATACATATCCTAACCCTGAATAACGTAAACTTTAACGATTAATATTTCGGTTCATGGGCGACGCTTTTTTCTGCTAGATTCTTTTGTACAAAAACGCGTCAAATGAGCCTATTTTTATCAAAATCGGAGGTAGGGGACCTAAACTAAATATTTACTATAATAAATAAAAATGATAATAAATGTAAAAATAAATATAATAAATGTAATGTGATAATAATAAATGTATCATAGCCAGTGCAGCGATTATGTGTCGCTTCCTAATCTCTATTGCAACTATGATTGCCACTATATTGCATCTATATTGCTCCATTATTCGATGTACTGACTAGGATGCCTTCTATTTAGTGACATAAGTCGACACAAGTATCATTTTGTCCTTGTTAAGCATTGAATGCCAAAAAAGATAAAACGATAATTGTGTCGACTTATCTTAATATTACATAATCTTAATATTTACATAGATATTCTTGGTATTATCAAATTTTGAATATTTTAAATTTATTAATGATTAATCTGATATATTTCAGCAGTGGATTTATTTTGCTTTGTATTTCCAACAATGAATCCAATGCGATCAACAATTTTTCGAAGAGATGAGGAGTCAAGATCAATGCATAATGAAGATGATACTTATTCAATTTTGAAAACTGAAGAAGAGAAACAGAGGCGTAGACGAGAATGGCAACGCCAGCAAGAGCGAGAAAAATATGAATATGAAAAATTGAAACAAAAGATTTTAGAGTATGAAAGAAAACGTGCACTAGCTTTAAAATATGCTGAAGAAAAATCTTCACATCATAGTAGAAGCAAAAGTGGTAGTGAATCTCCTTCATATCTTCAGTATAAAGATAGATCTATATTAACTGCTTCCAAATCTGATAGCCTGCATGAAAAGTGAGTTTTTCAGTTATATACATGCGCGCGCGTGCATCCCTCCCTCCCATACATATATACACACACACACATACACACATCACACAATATCTTCTCATGAGATTATTAATACCTGATAGAGATAAATAAAAATATTTAAGATACATTTATAAGAAGAATATAAGTTATATAAGAATATAAGAATAAAAGTTGTGTGATTAATTTTTTATTTCTTCAAAGTATTTTGTGATTAATGAAATATTGAAGATATATGATGAAGATATATAAACAATTTTGTTCACAATGACAATTGTTCATAATACAATGTAAATATATATATAATTGTGATACATTGATAGAACTAGTCTGATTTTTATATTTAATTGAAAAATATATGGCAGAAAAGAAATATCGTGTGTTTGTAGTGTTCAGAAAGAATAAAAAAGTACAAAAAATAATTGATCTAAAATAATTATGTTAGAAAAAATTGCATAAATATAAATTAATAAAAATTATAAATTAAATTAAAAATTAAAGCAATGATGATAACTTTGTTAGATACAACTAAGTGCAACATATTTTAATTAACAAAATATGGGTATCTTTATGATAACTTTATGATAATCAATAGCTATGATTATATTTCTAAAATAATGAAGAGAATATATTATTTCATTGATACAGTAGAAAAATTATATTTATTATATTTATTATATATTAAATTATATAAATATTTTATTTGAACAAGAATAAAAAAAGAGCATATTCCAAAATTGAATTACAAAAAAGAGTATTTGATTATTTTAATATTAAGAATATAATTATAAATTTTAATTTAATTTTACTTTTGACTATTGAATTCCCTTTAGATTAGATGGACATACAAATGCAACAGTACCTTTATTCAAGGATCTTCAGAATACACAAATTAATACGGAATTGCGTCGAATTAAAATTGATATTCATAGAAATATCCCAAAGGTAAAAGGTCCAGTTCCAGAATTACAACGAGATATACTTAATCCTGATGATATAATTATCAAAAGAAGAGAAGGTAAAATTTATATCTTTTTAATAGTTTATATTTTTTTAGATTTCTATTTTTATAAAAGTTCAATTGTATTATTTGATACTGCAATTTAAAAAAGAGCAGAAAGGAAGTTTATTATTTCTAAATGCAAATATTTAAATTTAATCAAAAGAATAAATCTAATAAAAGATATTTACGATATTGTTATACACAAATGAAGTTATGATGACAAATGATTCTGGCGGTTATTTAGAAAATTAAACTGCCACAGAAATGATAGAAATATTTCCAATATAAATATGATTACTTTTGTCATTTTGCCATAATAGCAACTTAAACAAAACAAAAAATCATGTAAACTTAAAAAGTTTGTATTGAAAAACATTTTGAAAAAGTTCAATACACATTTATAATTTTTCTGTCATATTATACATAACACATGTACGTGCACGTAGAAGATATCCCAAAATTATTAGATATCCTTTCATTGATAGATTCTGAGGAATAGTCTAAGATAAAAATTTATATAAAAATAATAAAATTTTTACAGGCTCCGATGATATAATATCAAATGTAAATAAATAAATTCGGAATAGAGCCAAGTTGGATGACAATGCTTATATTTAATTTTTAATAATACATATTATTTTATAAACAAAATAAGAGTTTGCAAACGGTTCGACCTACTACCGAGGTCATTTTGAAAAAGTGAAGAAGTGAAAAAGGGAAGAAGTTAAAAAACTAACCATTAAGCTTTCATCAAATATGTTATGAAATGTAGAGTTATGTAAATTATCGCCTTGCTGTTACATAAAAATGTCAAGATCATTAAAATGAGCAGTTCTCAGCGCTCTCTCTCTCGCTCTCTCTCTCTCTCTCTCTCTCTCTCTCTCTCTCTCTCTCCAAAAACAAAAGGAACATTTTTTTTAAGTAAATCATGTAATGGTTTGGCTACTTTTATGGCTATTAGTGAAAAATTTTCCATGAATTTTCGAAAATACATACACAAATCTAAAAACTCTAAATTTTGCAAGCATTATGAGACTCAAGAAAATTCTGCTCTCCGTAGTTATGTCACGATTAGTAAGCCGTAACTTCTTCAATAACAGTATATCTCAACAGTATATCTAACAGTATATCTCAATTGTTTTAATTTAGTTCGCAAAAGTTTATACTTGTCTAATCCTATTCTAACTATTTGTTCTTAATCATTAAATAAAATATTTTCCTTAATATTAATAAAATAATATTCTAATATATTAATGTAATAATGAGAAAATCGCATTTGAAAATCAAAAATAAACAGTAACATCTCCAAATTCTGTTAAATCTTGAAAAAGTTCTACGAAACATTGAAGTCTTAAAGATGCCCATTTTAATCCAAAAGATACGAGAAGAAGGAGAAACTCATATTGAGAAACTGATATTGACTGAAAGGCGTAACAAACAATGTCAACTTTATCGATTCCTTAGACATGTTTATATGGAAAAATCCATATAAACTTTTATCTAATCCATCTTTTATCTTTTATCGTAAATTTTTGTCTTAAATTTTTTTATATTAATATACCTTCTCTTATCTAAAAATTTTTATCTAAAGACGTAAAATATTTCTTTCGTCCTAAGAGGTCTAATTCTTTTTTTCTTTAACTCCTATTCTCTTTACAATCGATCTCAAAGAAATTAGCAAAGAATTTAGCAAAGTACATGTGACAAAATATAAAAATGTCATAAAGAGCAAGTGCTCATCAGCATTTTCTTATACTGCCACTACAGATTATGAGGTTTTGGGAGATCTTCCTTTTTAATCGCCGATTAGATATTACCTTTACAAGAATTGTAATCAATGTGTTTGGATAGGTTTCCTCAATCAAGTTCGGTATTTCTGACTATATTTCTTGACTTCAAAAGATCTAATTGATCTTTAACTAATAATAAAGAAAAATTGTTGCAAACTATAATTTTATTTAGTACTCTAAAATCTACACATAATCTTAGCTTTCTATTTTTTCGTTTCTTGGTTAAAACAATTGGAGATGCATATTCCGATTCACTTGGTCTAATTATTTCTGCTTTCAACTACTTTTATTTTATTATAATTCTCAATTTTGTTTTCTCATCATAAGATAATCTTCGCGGAGTACAGTAAAGGATTTGTTATCGATAAGTGTTAATTTTAATATTTTTGGTTAAAGGTTTTTAGGCGGCTTTACATAATATTCGTCAAATATTTTACACTTACATTTAATACTTAATCACGTTTAATAAATTATTATCTATTATAATTTTTTGCGAATCCGAATATTAGTTTGTTTTTCTAATAATTTTTTCTATAGCTAGAATTTCATCTATCTTAGCTTTCTTTTACAGTATTATTTTGAAATTCTAAGAAAATCCTCTCCTAGAAGTAAAGAAATACTTATTGTATTATTTTCAATTACATGAACTTCTAATGGAATTTGGTCATCCTCAAAAATAATTATTACATTAATTATGCCTAAAATATTCAATTTACTATTGTTTATACCATAAAACTTAGTTTCTCTCATTGATACGAGTTTATTCTATATTAGGAATGTATCTTTTTTAAATAAAACTTATTGGATGGCCCGTATCAATTAAAGAAGCCAATTTTACGTTACAATAGTCTTCAATCAAGCATATCTAAACCTCAAGTGTATGTTGAAATTTATCCTCTAATTGCTGTCTAGCAAAGCTTATTTCTTTCTTTGGAAAGTTGCATTGGCCGATTTGATGTCCTAATTCTCTACAATGATAACACATAATCCTTTTCGCGGTTGGGATGCTTACAGCTAGATGTGTAGTGAATTTTTTACAATTATAACAGCAACTCCTCTTCAAGCTTGCGATTTTCTTTTTCTTTCTCCTTTCCCATGTCATTTTTCGTTGCGCTATTTCCGACTGAACGACTGGTTTTTATTCCTGATTCATTGAACTTCAGAATTGTCTTTGAAAATGCTTCCAATAACTCAGTGATAGAATTTAAATGTTGCAGAATCTATACGAGCTTGAGATTGTAAAATCGCATCTAGAATACTATCTATTAAATAATCTGGCAGCTCATCATCAGAAATCGGGATTAAATTTCCTAATATGACTTTGTCATATAAGTATCTGCAAAGGTCTCAGAAGATTTCCATTTCTTTCTTCAACTCACGGCGTATTTGTAACTTGTTCGGTCGCAAAGTCAAATATTTTCCGTAACTCTACTAACAATTTTTCTGCATTTAATTCTGTGAATCTATTCTAGAATAATACCATTTCGAAACCTTACTTCGAAACTTATTCAAACAAATCACAGTTTTCATTTTTAAATCATCCAAATCGTTTTTATTATTTTCATATTAAAAACTTTATTTGTTTCTCCCATGCATTGTAATTTCTGATATTTTCGTCAAAATCTTTCATTAATTCCTTTCAATTCTTTTATTTTGACATTACTTCGTCGAACATTTAAACTGCTATTTCGTTGACATGCGATAAATCCATTTCTCTTTTCAAAAATTGGAGTTCATGTTCTATTAGATCTTTCTCAAGGCGTAACATTTCCACCTCATTAAATGTTCGGTACATTCGGTGCACTTACCGGACCCTGTTCAGTTTTTTGTGGTACATTTTCAGTATTTACTTCTTTTTTAACTTCATTAAATTCTTAATTTTGCTATGTTTCTACATTCGGCACAATTCCCTCTGCATCTATACATCTTAAAAGCTCAATCTTGTTCTCGGAAGTTGCTAAATGATAATATTATATTGCATATTATATTGCATTTTATTACACGAAAACTATAAATATTTTACATTGTTTAATAAGAATGATTAGATATTTCAAAATTTATTTTTAATGAGATTTAATGTTTAATATTTAATGTTTATCTTTTAATATAATCTCTTACATAAAATTATATGTTCTGTAGAATCATCGTATTGGAAGATATTTGCATTTGTATCTTCATCTGAAGATCTCATCAAGATTTTTCTTCATAGCATATGTATACAATATTTTAATGGAATTAAGTATATTTTTTCTTTTATCAAAATATAATGTTAATTTTTTAACAAAATCTTTGAAGTACCATTATCTCCTTAATTTTATTTAAATAAAAAAAAATTGGGAGTGTCCCGTTGATTACGTTGCAATTGGACTTATAGTGACGGATGCCTGGAGATTGCATCAACCAATCAAATAATTTTACTTTAAATTGACTAATCGGCGCTACCCAAAAAAATTATCTTTTAAAAGCTTTTATGATTAAAAAATAATAAATTTTGATAACATTCAATTGTATGCAAAATAAATAGATGATTTCTTATTTTTAATTAATTTTGATATAATTTATCTTTTGAGAGAAAAATTAATATAAATTTCATCACAACTTATAAGATGCTTTAGGATTCTAAATACTCTGAAAAAAATATGTCAAATTTCAACAGAAAATGTTAGCTAATAAATTATTAAGATGACAATAATAATTACTTTTGGTTTTTATTTGAAAAAAATGTTTAAATTGAACATAAAATTCTCTTTCATTAAAGATAATTATTTTTCAATCAATATGTTAGATATACATTATCATATACATTAACATTAGATTTCTAACAATAAAAAATGCTTATTAAAAATGCTAATGAAACGAGTAAAATAAATATAGGAGAAGGATGTAAACCAATATTCGACAGAGAAGAAATAAAAAAGGTCGCAATCAAAACTAATGAAGTAGAAGAACGACGTACAGTTGTAGCTGTAGATAAAGAACAATCAGGTACGTATTACATGAACAATTGTTATGTACAATTTTTAAATTAAACTAAACTAAATTAAACTAATATAATTTAATTAATAATATAATAAAATAATATAATTTAATTTTAATTGATAAAATTGCAAAATAGCTTTCTTAATTTTTTAAAAAACCATTTTAAAAACTTTTTAGAAAAACAAGCGATATTTTGAAATCTTTATATAAATCTAAATTTATGAATATTAATGTATATTAAGAAAATGACTGTATTATGTATGCATTTATTTATATATCTTTAATTTTACACATATATACGTGTGTTTGTGTATGTATATGTAAAAAACTACTTTAATATATATCAAGAAATTTTAATATTATAATTCAAAATATTTGAAGTTTCCTTCTGAAATAATATATTAAAACATAATAGTTATAATAATTATATTATTTTAAGAAGAATTGCATGTTTTAAAATTATAATATTACAGCATCATCAAGAAGATTGTATACAAGAAAACGTTCTTTATCGTTGAGTCCCATCAGAAATCATGAACAGACATATAGTTCTGGATATCTGTCTTCCTATCAATCTAGGTTTGTTTAACTTGCATACAATGTCCATACTAAATGTGAATTCTTTAATTTATTTTTTTTTAATTTCAGACATATCGATTTGAAGGATCAGGATAATAAAACAGACAATCGTGATATTCATAGACACGATAAGTAAATAAATATGTAACTTTACTTACTTATGCTATTGATTATATTATATTGATAAAAAAAATATTCGAATTAATGTATTACTTTTAAAATGAAAACAAACATTATATAATGAAAACATTAATAATGATTAAATTCTAGATTTTTAAGAATATACACTTTTATTGTTTCATAGAAGAAGCAGTATAGAGAAACATAGAGATTACAAAGAAAAATACACAGAACAAGATGTAAGCAAACATATCGCTAATCGATCGCGTTCTAGAGATCGGAATTCATATTCTAGGTAATTTCTAGAGTAAAATCATTTATATAGATTATTTCTAATATATTTTTATATTATTTTAAAAAATTATTAAGTTATTTTTAAATTGATATAACTTAAATAGTATTGAGCTAATTGATTGAGCTTTATTTACAAAAAATAAAGCATTAATAATTCTTTCAACATGATTGAATGATTACTATTATTGTAATCATTATTATTATAGGCCATTTTTGGAAGAAAGATCTTATTGCGAAAGATATCGTGAAAGATCAAAAAGAACGTTCTCTTGAAAGAAGGACTAGAGAAAGAGATAGAAATAGAGATAGGGATAGAGATAAAGATGGGGATAGAGATAGGGCTAAGGATAGAGAAAGAGACAGAGATAGGAGTAGAAATAAAGATAGATTTAGGGAACAAAGGAACGTAACACCACATTATATCGAATCACCAATACCTGTGCCTATCTATTATGGCGTGAGTAAAATATATGTGTATACTTAACTATTGATCTAATGACTGTTTTTAAGAAAATTCGTTAGAATTTTAATCGATCTATTTCTTGTTAAAATGTATATGTAGAGTTTTCCTCCGAGACCAATTGTAGTAAGTCCTATGGTTCCATTAAGAAGACAGATTCCTCCTATGGGAAGAGGTAGACATCCTGCCTTAATGGCACCAGTCCGACCGTTCCTACCACGATTTGTTCCTCCGGATATGTACAGATTAGGACATCCACCTCCAAAGCCAAGTAAATATATATATTGTACAAATATATGTATTTTATATATATTATTTTATATATATTATATATATTATATTATATATATTTTTTGCATACATAAATAAAAAATTTCTTTTACAGGATACGGACCGTTTTGAAATAGAGAGAATGTAATATTTTCGTACTTCAGCTAACAACATTTTAACATATGAATCATGCTTATCAATAAGACATATTTTATTTAGTTTATAAAGACATCTTAATAAGTATAATATTAATCATTTTTTATCATCTTTGAATCGAAAAGCTTTGTTATAATTGAGGATTAAAATATTTGGATTAGATGTATCAGATCAGATGTAATTCCGTATAACATCATATAAAATGTATATGTATATGAAATATGAATAATATAATAACTAATATTAATAATGTTAATATTAGCATTATTAATATTAATAATGTTAAGTAATATAAGATAATTGTACAAAATATATAATTTATATAAAATATTTTCTATATAATATAGATTATTATAGTAGAAACATATACATACATTTTATTATTATCATATTAAGTATTATTTTTAATATACTTGTAATTAAAAATTTTCTCTTGCAAATAAAATTGAAATATGTTATTCAAGATTTAGATGTTATAGAATATTTACACTTATTTTTTATAAACTATGTGACTTTGGAACACTACTACATTCTTTTATTTTCATATCTACTTTTTCAATATATAAATATTTTTCATTCTCATTTTTATTTTATTTAGATTATTTACTTGTATGAAATATGCTACCTATCTCTTTCTTTTATTCCTTAAGAGCATTAAGTGTCAGTCCACAATAGATGATTTAAGCTTTAAGACGTAAGAAATTGACCAATTATAATCGAATATGAAAAGAATACTCGACTATGATTGGTCAATTTCTTACGGCTTAAAGATTAAATACTTATTGTGGACCGACACTAATAGTTTATTCTTTTGTACTCAACATTCTTTATATGTAGAGGGATATTTAAAGTGTTACAAGCTATTATTTCTAAAAGTCTTAAAACAATCAACATGATTGAGTGGTTACTATTATCATGATCATTATCATTATAGGCCGTTTTTGGAAGAGAGGTCTTATCGCGAGAGATATCGTGAGGAATCAAAGAAATGTTCTCTCAAAAGAAAAAATAAAGTCAGAGATGAGGATAGAAATAAGGATGGAGATAGAAATACAGATAGAGAAAGGGAAAGATATAGAGATCTATCTCTAGATAGGAATAAAAATAAAGATAGATGTAGTAAACAAAGAAACGTAAATGCATTATATCGAATATCTGGGTGCATTAATATCTGTACTTATCTATTATGGCATGAGTAAAGTATATATACATACTTAATCAATCCAATCCAATTCAATGACTGTTTTTAAGAAAATTTGTTAAACTTTTAATTAATCTATTTTTTATTAAAATGTATATATAATGTACCTCTGATATGGTCAATTGTAAGCCGTATAGTTCCATTAAGAGAAAATTCCAGTAAGAGAAAATATGGGAAGAGGTAGACAGGGAAAGTCTCGTTAGCGCACAGTGTGTTAACACACTCACATCAGTTGATGCTTAGGAATTTTTCAATGGCTCACCAATCAAAAAGGTTTATATTTAATTTAGCTAATCAGTGTTATGTGCTATCAGATCCCTCTCGGTAGACGGATTCTGTCTTAATAGCACCAGTTCGATTATCCCCATTATTCTACAATTTGTTTCTTCGCATATATAGATTAGGACATCTATTTCCAAATCCAAAATAAATATACATATTGAATAAATATATAACATATATTGTATATATTTTTGAATATACACACACATACACACACACACACACACACACACATACACACACACAATATCTGTCACAGGATTGTGCTGAATGCTGAATACTGAGATAAGAAATCATATAAATGTGAATAGAAGAAGAAAGTCTAAACATAATTATTGAAAGAGCTTTTTAAATTGTAACATATGGAAAATAAAATGTAAGTTTATTTTCGATTATTTTTGTAGTTTTTTAAAATTGATTAAATAGTACTTATTATTTATTATAATCCTTGTCTCGCAGCTTAGGATGACTTCCGGCATACATAACTTCACATTTCTCTTTCTTAGCATAAATACTCTTATATAAATATCATAATGTTACAAATTCGTAAAATAATATAAAATAAAACTAAAATAAAGTTGATTAAGTATAGTAAAGACTTATTAAATATGTGCAATACATTTATTTAGCAATTTCATGCAAAGAAGACTGTACAATTTTTATAAGAAAAATTTTTGATCAATTTGCTTAAACTTATAATATTTACATATACATGTGTTTCATTTTAATAAATCACTTTTAATTTCTTAAATGCAATAAAATTTAGGGAGTTTCATTTAAGAAATTAAAGTGATCTCTATGTGATCTTCAAACAATTATTCAGGGTCAAATTAATGGCACTGTCTTATGTCTCCCTCGAAATCATACAACTTTTGTCTGAAACATTTTTCGTATTTTCTATATTTTTCGGGATATTTGCCTGAGGCAATTAAAATACACGTGTGTGTGTGTGTGTATATATATATATATATATATATATATATGTGTGTGTGTGTGTGTGTATATATATATATTCAGTTCAGTCACATATATATACATAGAGGCATGTGAAATGAAGTCGTTCAGGCAAAAAGACACACAGATGTCTGATAATAACTATATCACCTCTTTGGGTAAATAGAATGAGTTATACTGAATAAAAAAATTATGTATCATTTTGCAATTTTTACAATAATTAAAAAGTTATTAATTTATATTCTTATTTGAAACATTTGTTATTATAACATGTATTTTTAGGAATAGCTTGTTACATTTTAAATATCTTACTCTATACATGAAACATATTGAATATATAAGAATCGACTATTAATTTTCTCACGGAATGAAGCAAAACAAACATAATAAGATAGATAGCATATTTCATATAAATGAATAATCTAAATCAAATAAAATAAAAAAGAGAATGGAAAATATTTTTAGATTGAAAAAATAGATAGAAAAATAAAAAAATATAATAATATTCCAAGATCACAGCTTAAAGAAAATAAGTGCCTTAAATATTCTATAACATCCAAATCTTGAATAACATATTTCAATTTTATTTGCAAGAGAAAATACATTTAATTACAAATACATTAAAATAATACTTAATATTATAATTAATATGTACATATATGTGTGCTTGTATGTATGTATGTATGTGTGTGTGTGTGTGTGTGTGTGTGTGTGTGTGTGTGTGTATTTGTTGTAACGATCTACATTACAGAGAAAATATTTTATATAAATTATATACTTTATACAATTATCATATATTATTATATAATTAATATTATTAACATCATTATATTTATATTTCATATATATTTTATATGAGATTATATGGAATTACAATATATCTAATCCAATATTAATTCTCTTCAATTATACCGAAACTTTTCGATTTGAAGATAATAAAAAAGAATATTATACCCATTGATACCTTCATAAACAAAGTGAAATAGATCTTATTATTCATAAGTATTGTTCATACAAAATGTTGTTAACTGAAATACGAATATTACATTCTCATATTTCAAAACGGTCCATATCCTGTAAAAGAAATTTTTTATTTATGTATGCAAAAAATATATACAAAATACATATATTTATACAATACATATATATATTTACTTGGATTTGGAGGTGGATGTCCTAATCTGTACATATCCGGAGGAACAAATCGTGGTGGGAACGGTCGGACTGGTGCCATTAAGGCAGGATGTCTACCTCTTCCTATAGGAGGAATCTGTCCTCTTAATGGAACCATAGGACTTACTACAATTGGTCTCGGAGGAAAACTCTATATATACATTTTAAAAAGAAATAGATCGATTAAAATTCTAACGAATTTTCTTAAAATCCGATCGATAGTTAAATATGTATATATACTTTACTCACGCCATAATAGATAGGCACAGGTATTGGTGATTCGATATAATGTGGTGTTACGTTCCTTTGTTCCCTAGATCTATCTTTATTTCTACTCCTATCTCTGTCTCTTTCTCTATCCCTAGCCCTATCTCTATCCCCATCTTTATCTCTATCCCTATCTCTATTTCTGTCTCTTTCTCTAGTCCTTCTTTCAAGAGAACGTTCTTTTGATCTCTCACGATATCTTTCGCGGTAAGATCTCTCTTCCAAAAATGGTCTATAATGATAATGATAAGGATAATAGTAATCATTCAATCATGTTGAAAAAATGATTCAATATCTCGTGTTTTTTGTAAATAAATTAAATCAATTAGGTCAATAATATTTAAGTTATATCAATTTAAAAATAATTTACATATTTAAAATAATATTAAAATATTAATCAGCAATAATTTATATAACTAATTTTATTTCATACCTAGAATGTGGATTCCGTTCTCTAGAACGCGACCGATTAGTGATATGTTTGCTTACATCTCGTTCTGTATATTTTTCTTTATAATCTTTACGCTTCTCTATACTGCTTCTCCTATGGATTAGTAAAAGAATACATTCTTAAAAATTTAGAACTTTATCAGTTATATAATGTTTGCTTTTGTTTTAAAAATAATAAATTGATTTGAATATCTTTTCTATCAATAAATAACTAAAGTTACATATTTATTTACCTATCGTTTCTATGAATACCATGATTATCTGTTTTATTATTCTGACTCTTTAAATCCATATGTCTGAAATCATAAAAAAGTAAATTAAAGAATTCATATTTAATATGGACATTGTATCAATGCATTAAACAAACCTAGATTGATAGGAAGACAGATATCCGGTATTATAAATCTGTCTATGATTTCTGATAGGACTCAGTGATAAAGAACATTTCCTCGAAGTATGTAATTTGCTTGTCGATGCTATAATATTATAATGTTAAAGTATGCAATTTCCTTTTAAATATTGTTATATGTTCATTATTTAAGAAGGAAATCTCAATCTATCTTAAAATTAATATTCATTAATATTTCTTGATATGAAATAATAATTTTTTCTATATTAATAAGTTTTTCTTTAATTATTTGTATAATTAAATATAAATTTGTATTTGCTTAATATACACATATTCATAAATTTACATTTACATACAAAGATATCAAATATCAAATATGTTTTTTTAAATCTAAAGTTTTTTAAAAATGGTTTTTTAAAAAATTAATAGTGCTATTTTGCAAATTTATTAAAATTAAAATTAAAATTAAATTAGTTAAAAATTGTAATTAACAATTGATAATAGACAATACCTGTTGATTGTTCTTTATCTACAGCTACAACTGTACGTCGTTCTTCTATTTCATTAGTTTTGATTGCAGCCTTTTTTATTTCTTCTCTGTCGAATATCGGTTTACATCCTTCTCCTAGATTATTTATTAGTTATATATATATTCAATTATATATTTCTAATATGTATTAAATAAAAAAAGAAATTCATACAATGATTTATGTTTTTTCGGTTATCTAAATCAAACTTGTTATATTTTCTTCGCTTTCTTTAAACTATTCTTATTTAAATTATTCTTTATTTTTGTCATCAATTATTAATATAGACTACTATATATATATATATATATATATATATTTGCTATAATAATTATAGATATTATGTTTTTGCAAATAATAGAAATATTTATAAAAATTAATTTAGGAAACTAGTATTTAGACTAGACAAAGCAATATAATATCTTATAAACCATGCTAATTTAAAAAGCAGAAGCAAAATATTTAAATGCAAAACATAATAATAAATATGTATACAATTATATGTTATACAATTGGATGCTGTAACTTATGCAATGAGTATAATTTATAGTAAATAAGCATAAAAAAATTAATTTTTGTTATTTATGATTATAAATATTCTATTATTATATATAGTTAATTTATGTAGAATTATTATTATTATTATTTATGTAGAAAATAAAAATTATGATGATAGAATTATTAAATTATTGCCATGAAATGCCATTTTACTTTTAATAATTTTAAGATGTTTTTATATATAGATAAAATATTAAAATTGATAAATTAATGCATATAAATTAGTATTTATATGCTTTAATATCATTTGTAATACTATTTGAATTATCATTAGATATTTTACGAAAATATTTCAAAAAATATCTAATAAATTCTGATAAAAATTAAAATTTTGAGAATACATTTCTTAGGCAATAATTTAATATATAGCTTTCTTAAAATCTAATTAAAATGTACAAAATTTGTTATAAGTTACTTAATTTAATTAAATACATATGACATAAACTATAAAATCTTCAGTGAAGACAAAATAATCTTCCAGCCAAAGACACCATTTTTTCTTCCAAAGATATTTTATATCTTCCATAGATGGAAAATTATGATGTTGCAATAATTTATAATCATGATATTAAGAGAATTCCAATTCTAAGTATTATAATAGACAAAGAAAAAAGGAAGAGGGAGGAAGGAAGGAAAGAAGGAATCGAGAGAAAAGAAGAAAAGGGAAAAGAGAAATAGAAGAAAGAAAGAATTGATATATATGTGTATTATATAGAAATTAATAGTAATAAATATACATTGCTACATCATTACATATTATATATTATTCAATGTAATAAATATTATTTAGAAAATTTTTAAATATTAAAAAAATGATCTTAAAAAATTATAAATCTTTTCTTTATTTTAATTTTAAAAGTAAATTGCATTAAAAAAAACAAATGTTTTCATACCTATTTTAAAGTATCTTCATTATGCCTTGCCGACAATCCATCTTGTCTTCATTGTGAACTTCCTTCAATTATATTTCTATTATTTTTCTTATATTGTTGATATATCTTCAACAGTTTCTTTAGGTTTTTAATTTGGTAATCAGCGATAACAAGCTATATATAATCACACATACATCATAAATTAAAAATTATAAATTAAAAAGATATTTTTGTAAAAATTAATCAAATTAAAAGAATAATATTTCATTCTATAGTTTATAATTATAATAATAATAATTACAATTTCTTAAGCTTTACATATGCAAAAAAGAATTTTGTAAAGATTACATATATATTCAATATATTTAATCAATTGTAATTTTAATAAGAAGTTGTTATAAAAGAGATATTTACGAATTCGTTTCCAAATATCTTCTTGTGTTTATTATCCATTCTAGATTAATTACAAAAAAATTTTAATTTATTTTCACTATGAATTTTCTTCTTTTTTGTATCATTCTTTTTGTCAACAATATTATCATCTATGAAATAAATGTTCTATAAAGTTAGATATGTTTGTGAAAAATTTAGTTTTATCTTAATTACAGACTTTTTTCAAACACTAATTTCTCTAATTATCATGGATAACATTTTCTTTGAAACTAAATTTCCTTGGAACTAAAATATATAGAAAATGTATATACAATAGACTTCCTTTTATCTCATCTCATTTTATTAATTTATCACGTTCTTGATAGATTTTTCAATAAATCAGATATCAGATAGCAAATTCCCAAATAGCAGAATGCAGTTTGCGGGCAGATTAACAACAAATTCGATCAGAGTCTCTGCAGATAACATATAACAATCTATGTCTGTATTAAGCTTAGACTATTGACAGAATCTGTTAACAGCTGCTGGCATAACATGTCAGCAGGCTTTGTCGAGCCCTCAAGTCTAATGTGGACACAGATGGCTATGGATTTGCAGTCAATATCTGATCAAATTTATTGCCAATCTGCTAGCAAATGTTAGTATTTTGCTTACTGGGCTATACAATATTCTACATCTAAAAAAATATTTCTTAAATTGTATACATAGAAAAAATCATTTAAAAATATGAGTTTACTATTTGAATAAAAATTTTAATTTTAAAAA